CACACACGCACACGCACACGCACACACACACACACACACACGAAATATCCACAGACTCAAATGATCAGACAACATCTCAGTAATAGAATTTGTAAGTCAGAAAATACAACCATCAAAATGGATATTATTAGCTAGGTGGAGATAGTTTCATTTGGTGTATTAATAAATTACACACTTCATAAATATTGTTATATTCCATCTTTATTAAAACTCAAAATGTTATGTAAAAATATTACCATAATCTTAGAGACAAAAACCCAGAAACTCAAACACGTGAAGTAAATGACATCACACTGAAGGCTTCCAAAGCCCACCACCTTTCTTCACTTTCTTTTCAGTACTGGGGGTTTAATTCAGGTCCTCTAGCTTTGTAATCCAGTTAGTACTTGAACCACACCTCTAGTTCTTCTTGTTTCTTTATCCCTTTATCTCTACCACCCAAGTAGCTGAGATTACAGCTGTGTACCACCACTCCTGGCCCAAAGCCTATAATATTAAATAAAATGTTGCTCTCTAAGTAGAAACCTCATCAATCAGAATAAATTTGTAAGCACAGAAGTCTTATTACATTAATAGTACCACCAGTTACTTCAAGGCTCATAATCTTACATCAAAATTCGTTCCTCCTTCAACCTATAAAACCTGTCTAATAAGTCTAATGATTATTTCTCAATTAGTATTTAGCAAATACACCCATTATATATAAAGCACTACATTATGAAAAAAGACAAAAAGCTTTTATATCAACATTTGGCAAGAAGAAACTTGTTATCACAAGAACAAAATAAAATAATAAAAAAGTAGATAAATAAAAGGGAAGGGAAATTGATTTTACTTATATTCCTTATAATTATACATCTATGGGGGGGGGGGCTGAACTCGGCCTGGGCACTGTCCCTCAGCTCTTCAGCTCAAGGCTTGTGCTCTACTACTTAAGCCATAGCACCACTTCTGGCTTTTTCTGTTTATGTGCTGCTGAGGAAATCAAACCCAGGGCCTCATGCATGCAAGGCAAGCGCTCTACCACTGAACCACCAGCCCAGCCCCTCTTTATAATTCTAAAAGAAAAAAAGTTCAAATCAGCAAATAATTCTCATCTGTTACACTTAAAGTGCAGCACATTTCAATATATACATATATATATATACATACTTATGTATGTATATATACATTTATATGTATGTATACACACGTGTGTGTGTGTATGTGTGTGTGTGTGTGTATCCAAGACAAAGAAATATTTTTCTGTGTGTGCCAGTCCTGGGGCTTAAACTCAGGGCCTGGGCACTGTCCCTGAGCTTCTTTTTGCTCAAATCCAGTACTCTACCACAGTTCTACTTCTAACTTTTTTTGAGAAGTTTATTGGAGATAAGAGTCTAGTAGACTTTTCTGCTAGGGCTGGCTTGAAACCTCAATCCTCAGCCTCCTGAGTAGCTAGGATTATAGGTGTGACCACTAGTGCCTGGCTTCAAATGATGTTCTTATTAATAACAATCATATATGCTTATAATTATGAAAATGGCTAAGATGGTATGTAGTCTTTAGAGATAAAACCTTAAGAAATTAATAATCTTCCTAGAATGGACATTTGAAGGTAACTACAATGTCTTTCTGGGTGAAAGGGATTAAGAGGAAAAACTTTTTGAAACTGGATCCAGATTTTTAGTTTAAAAAAATTATATAAGCCTCAAACAGCAAAGTAATTTCTTTTTTCTTTTCTTTTCTTTTTTTTGGGGCCCGGTAGTGGGGCCTGGGCCTGGGCGCTGTCCCTCAGCTATGCAGCTCAAGGCTAGTGCTCTACCACTTGAGCCACAGCACCACTTTCGGCTTTTTAATTTTTTCTTATGTGGTGCTGAGGAATCAAACCCAGGGCCTCAGGCATGCAAGGCAAGCACTCTACCACTGAGCCACCTTCCCAGCAGCAAAGTAATTTCTTAGATAGTTCACTAACCCATCTTAGCTTCCAATTTTGACAAGGATACAAGAGAGAAATTAAGGGAAGAGAGATTTCAATGGAAAGAAAACTGAGGAAATATAGCACTTAATCCTCACTCTATTGAAAATCTCAATGGACAGGAAGGAGGAAGCTGAGAGAATACAGAGATTCAGTCAGCTGGCGAATTTTTAAAGTAGAAAACAAATTTACTACAGAACCAATGTAACTTTTCATTATACAATCTACACTCAAACAATAAACTAAGAGTAAAAGACACATGACACATCAGACCTAGGGATCAAATAGCAGCAAGAAAAGCCAAATTTTCTTTGGATACCATCTGGAGGCAAACTTAATTTCAAGATCATGAATTGCATGTGTTGATGTACATTATTACTATGCTCTTTTCTCCTAAAATCCCACATAGTACTTGGGTAGGAAAAAACAAATTAAAGGGAAATAAATATAAACTACAAAGGCAGCACGTAATGCACTTTTAAGAAAGCACACGTTATTACAGCACAGAACTCAAGCCAGTGCAACAGAATACTATAATATTAATAAACAGTATATTGTTAATTCCTTAGACATAAAGCTGCTACTTCCAGAATCTAAACAGAAAACCTCTCTTTTTCTTTTTTTGTCGGGTGTGGGGCCTGAACTCTGGTCCTGGGTACTGTCCCTCAGCTCTTCAGCTCAAGGCTAGCACTCTACTACTTGAGCCTCAGTGCCACTTCCGGCTTTTTCTGCTTATGTGGTGCTGAGGAATCGAACCCAGGGCCTCATGCATGCAAGGCAAGCACTCTACCACTGAGCCACCTTCCTAGCCCTTCTCTCTTATTCTTTTTTTTTTTTTTGGTCGGCCGTGGGGCTTGAACTCTGGGCCTAGGCGCTGTCCTTCAGCTCAAGGCGAGTGCTCTACCACTTGAGCTACAGTGCCACTTCCGGTTTTCTGGTGGTTTATTGGAGATAGGAGTCTCACGGTCTCTCCTGCCTGGGCTGGCTTTGAACCGCGATCCTCAGATCTCAGCCTCCTGAGTAGATAGGATTACAGGTGTGAGCCACCAGCGCCCGGCTTCTCTCTTATTCTTATTCACAGCATTCCTCAAAGACTCAGAAACTATTTTAAAGGTATAATGTTGGACATCAACTATGCCAAAGATAAAATAGTATCTCCAGAACTGACACCAAAATCTAAAGCACAAAGCTCTTTAACACGTAGTTCTCTTGGCCACTGATTCACAAAGAAAAACACAAAACTCCATATTAACTAGCTATAATTTGCTTCTAATATTTTTTTTGGGGGGGGGACCACAGTCCTGAGGCTTGAACTCAAGACCTGGGCACTGTCCCTGAGCCTCTTTGTGCTCAAGGCTAGCCACAACATCACTTCTGGCTTTTTCTAAGTAGTTTATTACAGAGAAGAGTCTCATGGACTTTTCTGCCCAGGCTGGCTTCAAACTGTGATCCTCAGAGCTCAGCCTCCTAAATAGCAAGAATTACAGGCATAAGCCACCCAGGGCCCAGTTCCTCTAATTTTTTTAAAATTCCAGATTCTATCTCATTCTTTCCTAACATAATTAAAATAACCACAGGTTATAGCCTACTACCACAGGTAAATCTCTTCTTTTAAGAAGTACTATGATATATAGATAGCATTTTTCAATGCAAAAGAGTATAATAAATCCACACTGAGACCAAGAGCTGCATCATACATTCAGTTTCCTTCTACGTCTTATCCCAATGTGCTTCTTGGCTTATGCACCCATAAATTCTATGCTTATGGGTCTTCTCCTGGTTAATAATAATTAATAATAATTTAATAATAATGTTTCGTTATTATTTTAAAGTATATTATTTTTAGAGAAGCATTTCTTAACCAGTTTACTGATGCGTCTTAGAAGTGTTTTATCTCAAATCTTTCATTGAATAATACTCCATTTCCAAGTCTCATTTTTGGACAAGTCTTTGGAAATTTGTTTTTTGATACCAGTACTCAGGGCCTCGGCAATGAGCAATGTCCCTGAGCTTTTATGCTTTTTTATCATATCACTTGAGCCACAGTTCTACTTCCAGATCCTTTGGCAGTAAATTGGAGATAATAAGTCTCCCAGACTTTCCTGTGTGGGCTGGCTTCCAAACACAATCCTCAAGTCTCAGCCTCCTGAGTGGCTAGGATTATAAGCCTAAACAACTGGCACCTGGGTGGGAAGTTTTTTGTTTTGTTTTGCTTTGTTTTGTTTTGTCATTCATGGAGCCTGAACTCAGGGCTTGGGTGCTCCCTGAGCTTTTGTGCTCAAGGCTCATGCTCTACCACTCTGAGCCACAGCTTCACTTCTGGTTTTCTGGTGGTTAAATGGAGATAAGAATCTCATAGAGTTTCCTGCCCAGGCTGGCCGTGAATGGAGCCTCAGATCTCAGCCCCTTGAGTAGCTAGAATTATAGGTATAAGCCAGCAGCACCCAGCAAATTTATTTTTTTTTTTACAATAAAAGGAGCATACCTTTAGATCTCTCAGTGTGCAGAACATTAAGTTACTATTATTTTCTATTAATTGTGAACCAAGCAATATCATCTCCCATGTCTGTCATGCTTGACATGCTTTCAAGAGATGTGACTATACAGATCCTAATATACATATCTATTAGTCTATTGAGGCACAACTAGGAAAGGAGAGGCTGACAGGGGTTCATTAAAAGCCACTGCCATCTCTCAAAGCAAATGGACAACTCATGGAGAAACGTAACTATGTAAGCATGAAGAGCAGTCCATAGTCTATGTGGTGAGGAACACTGATCCTTCCAGTTTTAGAGAAGTGCTTTAGTAAGTCCAGGTGCCAAAGTAATACTAACAATTTTTTCCTTTAAACATTGGAAATATAATAAATTGTGAATGTACAATCGTTTATACAAGAATTAAACCTACTATGAATGTAAAGGGTGGTTTATCGTATTTCCATAGAAATCTGTTACTTTTCATTTCTCTTCAAATATAGAGTGAAAGGAGGTACTTAATAAGGCAAATTATCTTTACAATTCTAATTAAGGGTTGAAAGAAAACTTACTCTAGATGAATCATAGGAGGGGCTTGGTTGACCACTTGTTCCCCAAGATGTGGTACCTCCACGTTCATCTATACCTAAGAAAAGAAGACAATGATGGTGTAAATCTTCTCAAGATATTTTGGCGTATGCTTTTGAATAAGTACAACAGAGAATACACAATTCAGAAGATCACATGTGCATCTTTGCAGGACTATCAGTTGCCTCAGAAATCTCTGTAAGTTAATCCAAAGTATCTTACAGGACTCTACAAGCAGTAATATACATATGTCATCAAATTTCAAAACTGAAATATTTCTTTGGAGATTTTTAAATGGCATATATGGGCCGGAAAGGTGGCTCAGTAATAGAGTGCTTGCCTTGAATGAATGAGGTCCTGGGTTCGATTCCTCAGCACCATATAAGCAAAAAAAGCTGGAAGTGGTGCTGATTCCTCAGCACCATATAAGCAAAAAAAGCTGGAAGTAGTGCTGTGGCTCAAGTGGTAGAGCGCTAGCCTTGAGCTGAAGAGCTGAGGGACGGAGCCCAGGCCCAGAGTCCAAGTCCCACAACCAACCAAAAAGAAAAAAGACAAAAAGACATATAATCAAGTTATCTCCATCTCTGTTCCCCTCCACTGCTTTTTGTTGTCAGCTAAGGGAATTGAACTCAGGGCCTGGATTGACCCTGAGCTCTTTTGCTCAAGGCTAGCACTCTATCACTTACAGCTACAGCTCCACTGGTGGTTTTAGAGTGGTTGGTGGTGTTAGAGTGGTTAACTGGAGATAAGAATCTTAAGACTTTTCTGCCTCAAACCACGATCCTCAGATTCTAGCCTACTGAATAGCTAGGATTATAGGTGTGAGCCACTAGTACCCAATACCCACTGCTATTTTTTAATGAGTACATGAAACTCAAACTTTATCTAGTTTAGTACTGTCCACAAGAAGAACTCAGTTCCATAAAAAACAAAAGCTAGTCAAACAACCATTCAATTTACTTTTTTTTTTGCGGGGGGGGGGGGGGGGGGGGGAATGCTGGTCATGGGGCCTGAACTCTAGAGCCACAGCGCCACTTCCAGCTTTTTCTGCTTATGTGGTGCTGAGGAATCGAACCCAGCACGTCATGCATGCAAGGCAAGCACTCTACTGCTGAGCCACCTTCCCAGCCATCAATTTACTTTTAAACAATGTTATCTATCAGATCATGGATTAAATATTCTTCAACCAAAACAAACCATATAATTTCAACATTGGTTACATCAAAACAATATCACAATTCATTCTATAGCAATTATGTGGGTTAACGCTTCAGTCTCATCTAAATACAATCTGATTGCAAAGAAGATCCACTCTTAAAAGGTTGCAAAGGGAAACAAAGAAGAAAGATTATTAACCACTAGCAACAATGCACTTCATTGGGTCCTTTACTATACCTTCTGAAGATTGGGTGGGAAGGGATGGAGTTCTCACAATCCAATCATTTTACCTTTTCTGGTTCTGTTCCATTTCTTCTACCTTTTCTATGAGGAAGACTCCAATCTTTTCCACTTATGATTCCTAGGAAAGCATGTTGTTCCCACCCCTTCTGAACTTCTATTGCCTTTGCTTCATTTGTATGTGAGAAAACCTAGATATTACACTTACACCGACACCGCCCTGCTAAGTTCTGCACTCCTTCAGAATATTCTTGGAAGTAGTCTATGATTTATGTGAGAATGTGGTGTGTGCCATCAATTTTTCAGTAACTTGCTAGGATTCCCAATGTTCTTTTATTGCCAAGTGAATGGATGGATGACAAAAAAAAAAAAAAAAAACACCTAAGGAGAGAGGGTATCCAGTTAAAAATACATATTAAAATAGGATCCAAAGCAGAATGTATTTTAATTGTTTTCTTTATTTTAAAGGGCTAATAAGACAGATGATACAAATTAATAAGCACTCTGTCACTCAACCCCAGTCAACTGCAATTTGAAAAATATTTAATAGAATACACTATAAATAAAATTTATATCTTTTATTATAGTATATTGATATAATTGTTCTATTTTATTATTAGCTATTACTAATCTTACTGAGTGTAACATATTCAATTTGCCATAGGTATGCCTGTATAGGGGAAAAAATTACACACACACACACACACACACACACACACACACATACACACACACACACACACACTCTTGATCTGGTACTATCTTCAGTTTTAATGACTGGGGTCCTTGGAATGTGCCCCCCCCACACACACACAGAAGATCTAGTTTACAAATAATATTCTACCAGCTCTGAAAGCACAGAGGTTGTACAAAAATATGCAAAGTTTTGTTTATTCTCAGAATTCTTATAAGGCCTATTAGAGACCTTTAAAGGAAAGACTACAGGTATGTAAAGTATGTAAAAAACAGTGCGATTGCTTCTCCAGTATCACGAGTTACCTGTAAGCTATTTTCGAAAGCATGTTCTTTGCAGTCAGCATTGTAGAAGCTATGATTTTTCTGAGATTTAACCAAAGACAATTAACTCACAAATCTACTAACATATACATAAGCTTATTGGGAAGTATGGCACATGTGGATGAACATCAGCCAAACAAGTGTGAGGCTCTGAGTTCAAACACCAGTACTAACAATTAACTAATTAATTGATGAATTAATAATTATTTGATTATTTCACATAATAGTAACTAGATGAATCTTGTCCTAATGAAAATAATCAATTTATTCTCTTAATAACTGAATCTTTAGCAGATGATGGACAAATCTAAGATGCCTTCCAAGTTAAATACATTGTAAAAGGAAATACAAAAATAAAAATGGTTAAAAATAAAATAAAAATGGTGCTAATTACAGGTAACTTCTCAGTCAACAAAGCCAGATACTCAATTTTCATCAAGTGATCCTTAATTCCTTCATTTATGAAGAAAGATTAAACAAAATGATAATTAAATAACTGGGTCACCAGCTAACTACCAATGCCTCTGCTACTGGAAGTGCAAGGGACCCAAAGGATTCTATAGAATCACAAGGATCTGGCCTGGTTTAACCTCTGAGCTCTGTGGTTTTATTGTTAACATATCCAAACTGAGTAAAAGGTCGTGGCTGGCACTGACAAAGGATAGAGTCATAGTTTTGTATCAATGACTTCTTTTTGCTGAAGACAATGGCTACACAAACACAGAAATGTAACAGGAATAATAAATCTTCCAAAGCTTCATCCATAAGACCAAAATAAACAGAAATAGGTTAAACCAAAATATAAATTTAGTACAAACTGATCAAACACGGAAAAACAAGAAAATACACTAATATTCCAATAAAATGATGGGAGCAATAGTGTTCTGTTTAGATATCCCTGAGAATAAACTATTCCCACATATTTTCTTTCATCCCCATTTCTACTACATATATGTCAATTCAGCAATTTTAGAGAAGCTCAATTCCTTAATTCACAGATCTAAAAGATGGATAATAAGAAAAATATTAGTGGACTGGGAAGGTGGCTCAGTGGTAGAATGCTTGCCTTGCATACATGAGGTCCTGGGTTCAATTCCTCAGCACCACATAAGCAGAAAAAGCCAGAAGTGGCAGTGTGGCTCAAGTGGTAGAGTGCAAGCCTTGAGCTGAAGAGCTCAGGGACAGTGCCCAGGCCCAGAGTTCAGGCCCCACGACTGACAAAAAAAAAAAGAAAACAAAAGAAAAATATTAGTAATTATCAAGTGGAGAAATTTTGAATTTTATTTCACTTTAACAACTTTTATACTTTTATTCAGTAGCTAAATCATGTAATAAATAATTTAGCTCACAATAAAACATAAATGTTGCTTTCATTTTTAAATCTTATATATACAGAACTGCTTAGTACCTTCTTTCACTGCTTGAAACCAGTTATTCAAAATTTAATGTAAAAAATGTAAAATTTTTATCTGATTTTCCCATTTAAAAAGCAAGCTATTGGGCTGGGAATGTGGCTTAGTGGTAGAGAGGTTGCCTTGCATGCATGAGGCCCTGGGTTCGATTCCTCAGCACCACATAAGCAGAAAAAGCCGGAAGTGGTGCGGTGGCTCAAGTGGTAGGGTGCTAGCCTTGAGCTGAAGAGCTGAGGGACAGTGCCAGGTTTCAGAGCTCAGACCCCACAACTGACTCACACAAAAAAAGCTATTTTGACTTATTTTCCAGTTAGTGAACATTAAACTTTAGGCCTTGTTTTTAAAAACAATGGTTTATGAATTTGATGAAAGCGATCAGCCACCTTTCACAAAAACATTTAATAAGTAAAATAAATCAGAAATTATTATATACACAGGCACATCCCGAAGAGAGAACCTTTTTCTTCTCTTGGAAAAGGAATAAAAGATGAAGCCACATCTTCAAGATTGACTCTTAAAGGTAAACTTCTTGGCCAAGTCCATTATCTGATATTATTCCTTTCCCATGACAACTCAGATGTAGTCTACTTGCTTCCATGTCCATGCCAACACTATTGATTTTGACTGAAGTACTCTCTAAACTCCATCCTAAAACTACCTCACACCTTCTACTCCACTCCTTCCCCTTCTATTCCACTCTATTCCCCTTCTCACAGCTTCTATGCCACTCCTTCACATGAGCATAGATGTTATAGGCTTTTCTAGATTTTTGTCCGTTAGCAAAAACTGGAAATAAATATTTTTGGAGGGGAATGATATTTTACAGCCCCACAAATAGGACCTGCAAACAAAACTGACTGACTAACCCTACAGAATTCAAGCACATAGGCATCTCTCCAGGTGTGGTGACGTTCACAGAACACCTGCCTGAGTTAAAAGGATGGCTCAGGTGCAAAGCTACAAACCATACAAACCATTTTCTTTCCTGCCACTTGCTACTACCAGACCTAGCATCAAAAACCCTGCCACTCTGAACTAAGACTAGGGTAAACTAGGAAGTATGGTTGGAACTGGGAAAATACTTGAGGTAAAAGTGCAGTTTCATAAGCCAAGAAACAATGAAAGGGAGGAAAAAAAGAGATACAAAGAAGAGAGTCCGGAGAGCAGCAATTAGATTATTCCTGCAGCAAAGACAATGAGAAAGCAAACAATACAGTCATACCTGAAAAGG